TAAAAACAAACTAAAAACGACTTCCAAAAACATTCAGCTTTGATATTAATGAGTTTTTTGGGTTCATTGAGAACATGGTTGTTGTTCAATAATAACATTATTCCTCAAAAATACAACTTGCCTAATAATTCTGCACTCCCTGTATTGCCAACTCACATTTCAGGCTGTTCAAAAAGGCTCCTCGGAGCCTCTGCCTGAAAATGAGAGCACATTGTGTCAGAAATCCTCCGCTCTTGTCCAGCTCTTCAGAAAACTTGTCTGCAGCAGGCACAGGGTGCTCGTGAGGCAGAAGAGGAGGGAAGAGGGCAGGCAGCAGCGGGGAGGCGTGTTGCTGGCAGCTCCAAAAGAAGATAGCAACATACATTTTAATTCAGTCACAACCTATAACAGGGCTCTCTGCACCTTGGTTTTATGCTGCAGCATCTTCAAATGCCGCTCCAGCGGGTCTGCTGTAATTATAATTCCCGCTGCACCAGGTTTAACTTAAGGGCATTTAAGGAGTCTAAGATGTCTTGCAGGGTGGACAAGTCATTTTAGACTCTGACTTCCTCTTTTGCATGTTAAGCAGGAAGCATAACACTGACTGTTTCACACTTGTTGTCAGTGAGTATCTTTATACTTCCTCATTTCTGACATGACAAAAATTAGTTCAGTTGGGTTATTAGAATTCTGCTAAAAAAGACCTGACATGAACTCGTTAGGTAAGAAAATATTTTGTGCTTTTATTTCTTAGTTTTGTGATACTGAAACTTATTCTGTTGTTTTTCTTTTACCGTACTGACAGAGACATTATTGTGTTTACTAGTGCTTTACTTGTAGTCACGAAAACACGAGTTATTATAGTTTCATTTTTATTTATAGTTTTTGTGTAGTTATATTATTAAATTAACAAGTTTTCTGCCAACCCAGGGAACAAGATTCTGTCTATGAACATGGTGAAAGTTGGCATGATACTGATTGTCCTCTTTGTTCCAGGTGAGCTGTTTATTCAGTTATTCAAAGATATTATAGGGGTAATTTATACTCTACTCTAATTTAGAATTATGCCAAAAGACCATTATAGATGGAGCCATCTGCTCATTCCCTGATTGAAAAATATCAGCACACACTGTTAAACGGAGGGGAAAAATGTCTATAATGCTGTATTTACAGATGCTTTGGCTGACTGCCCTGATGAAGCAGACCTCTTCATAACTGCACCAAAGAAGCTGGAAGCACTGAGTGGATCTTGTTTGAAAATCCCATGTAGCTTCAGACTCAAAGATGAACAGAAGTTTAAGAGCACAAGAAAAATCGTTGGAGTGTGGATAAAAAAGGATTCCAGAATTGTCATTTATCCAAACAATGTGATCTACAACAGTAGTGGAGCAGTTAACATCTATCCAATGAGTATTACTGGGAACCTGAGTCAGAGAGACTGCACCACTCTGTTTTCTAATTTAACCACCACATACACAGACACATACTTCTTCAGAGTAGAGAGTGAACCATTCAAGGCGACAGCTCATTGTGATCCTCTTCAAATAACAGTCAGAGGTAAAGATTTTTTTAATTAGTTTATAGTTCAATATTTTAATAATCGCTCTTCATGAACTTACATATATGTCTGTGGAGACCAAAATTAACAATACTATCATAATGAGTATCCAGACTGACAGCTGAATATACATATATTTATATTTCCATAATTCCATCAAAAGCTGTAAATAAAATTAGAATGATATGATCTGCAAAACATTTACATCCTTTATTTAATTAATGTGACGAGAGGAAAACAAAGTTACTTTAAAGTAATATTCTTGGGTTTTTTTGTTTGTTTTTTTTGTTTGTTTCAGAACAACACAGGCTTAAACTGTAGCAGTTAAGCACTTTTTTGCTACAGAGACATTCTGTTATTGCACTGTTTAGACACTGTGGTTTGACATTTTCATGCTAAAAAGACCATTTAGTGCAACCTATGTTTCTCCAAAGAAAGTTAAGCATGTGAACAGGTTAGAGTGTAGCACAATTGTAGTCTGTACCGGTAGGGCACTTATGAAGAGTGGAAATGTGGCCGGTTCAGATACCTGTGCAGGTATGGAGATGTCTAGGAGAAAAGACAGCTGAATTTTTAAACTGATTGTTTATTACAATCATGGAGACTGAGAGGATGCCTATGGAGAACAGGAGATAGAGATAGGTGAAAAAGATAGAGCCAGCAAAATAAAGTGGTTTTCAGAAGTGTTCCTGTGCCTATGCCATTAATGATTATTAGAGAAATTAAGAAACTAGAAAACCTTAAGTATTTAAAGTAAAGATTACTTCCAATTCATTGCATGGTGTTTTTCCTTTGCATTCTCTAGAGCATTTCTGTTTTTTTGGAAAAAAGGTTTGTGATTTTTCTGCTGCTGTTATATTCATACCCACAGACTTCAGTGTTCACATGTCTTACCAGAGCTAAATTACCTCTTCGTGACTTGATGATCTGTGTTGTTTATATAGATATATCATTTCAAACCACAGATTCTCCTTGGAGGCCCAATATTACAATCCCAGGTGATCTGAAGGAGAAGGAGTCTGTCACTATAACCTGCTCAGCTCTCACTCCCTGTCCACACTCTCCTCCTCAACTCACCTGGAATCTCCAACAAGACTCTCACAACAAAATAGAGCAAAACACAGATGGAAGCTCTACAACTAAAATCCAGCAGAACATCACTCTGTCAGACACACATGATGGAAAGAAGATCAGCTGCTCTGCCAGATATCCTGTGAACCAAGGAAACGACACCAAGACAGCAGAGACAGAAGAGACTCTCAGTGTTTCATGTAAGACAATCATAGTGTTTTTATGGATCCTGTGAGTAAACTATGAGTAATGGAATATTAAATGTTTATAATGGATAATAGGAATCCGTATTAGAGCTATTTACCCCCTTTTTTTCCAGTGCTCCCCAAAGAAACCACAGCATTTATCAACCCTTCAGGTTCAGTGCCAGCAGGCAGTCAGGTGAACCTAGCTTGTTATAGTAAAGCCAAACCGCCAGTCATCAGCTTCACCTGGTTCAAGAAGAGCAGAGATGGAGCTGTGAAAGTATCTGAAGGAGAGATTTACAGCTTCAATGTAACAGATGGAGGAGTTTATTACTGTGTGGCCACTAATGATCTGGGTAATCAGACATCAGGAGAAATTTGTGTGAATACTGAAGGTAATGTTAACCAGTATTCATTCAACTGAATGCAAAGAGGCATTTGGCATTCCTGTTTATGAATTATTGTTGTCTTGTCTATGACACTTTTAAAGAATCTTTGTGATTGCTGATTGTTCGACTTTTCTTCAGGAAGGCAAACTTTAAAATCTTTTGTTTGAACATTCAGGTGGTGTTGGTCTCTTTGCTCTACTGCAGACTGCAGGAATCACAGTGCTTGTGATCACACTGGCCATCTTTGAGTGGTGAGACAAATCTTTCTGTGATATTCTCATTTTTAGTGTGTGTGGGCTACATTTCATGGATCTTTATAGTTCATCACTGCCAAACCAAACAGAAACTAAAGCTTTTTTTATTGTTTGTTTGTTTTTATTTCAGCTGCTTCAGATCAAGACGCTCCAACAAATCAGAGATAGGAATTTGCCAAATGAACACTTACTTAACAACTGAACAACTAAAGTCTATGCAAGTCGCAAGAGGAGGGGAAACTCCAGTTTAAAATACAATATGAAACTATTTTTTAACGCTTAAGAGTTGGTTAACAAGAATTTAGGATGTTTGTAGATTTCTTTATAGTGTGGTGTTCAAATATTTTTAGTCAAATTATTAAATAAAATAATGGCCATACTGGCTCAAAATGTATACCACCAGAGCTTAACTGGTTGCTTGTCTCACTCAGATTATTCATATTAGGAAAGCATGCTTTTAGACCAGTTCATACTAGAACTGCCTCAGCACATATAAGGGATCACTGGTTAATAAATATAGATGATAGGAAACTAGACAGGGTTGTGCTTTTAGATGCTACTGTGTTCAAGGTCACTGACAACAGTGTTTTAATAACAAAATGAAATGTCTATAATGATGTGTTTTGTGTGTGTGTGTGTGTGTGTGTG